TACTAAGTAAATCTTCAAATAAAACCTTCATTTAAACATATCACAAGACTAGCCATGCCCAGAATCAAAACAAATATAACGTCAAAAGTTACCAACTGTATAACTTTGACTTATCAAATAGACCTTAAAGAAATACAACCTAAATTTTCAATATTGTAGACATCATAATGTCATGATAGGTGTCCTTTTTCTACCAGATTAAAATATTTCTGGAAGCACTTTTTCTCCTTTATGCTATGAAACATTTTTAATCAAAATGGTTATTTACACATAGAACAGGGTGAAAAAAATTAATCTCCTCCCGCATTTATTCTGTAACCTACAAGTTTTCATCTTTGTATTTTGATTAATTTTGTAATAAAAATATACAGGCAGCTCCTCATTTACCAAAAAAAAAAGGAGTTTCCAGGCAATATTTAGAAAATGAAGAGCCATGTCCAAACTACAGCTCACAGCAGCTGATAAAGACAAGTTCCCTTTTGCAAAATGCCTTACAGTGTAAAGGCTGCTGAGTTCAAATTACACAGTTCCCTCAATCTTGTCACATAGCATATCTAGAATTCAAGTGTCAATTCAGCTAAAAATACAATTGTAGACAGAAAGATCTAAAGTATGTTTATTGTGGCTTACAACTTGCCTTGAAAGTTATGCGTAAGTTCTTTAAATGTGAGTTTTAGTTAACTTTAAAAGTCAGAAGTCAGAAAAGTGAGCAGTGTTGGGAACAGATGACTAAATTCCCTTTCAACACTGTATTCTGAGCTTCTATTATTCAATGGTCATTTTTTTTTAAAGCATGATTGTGAATCTGAAAACCTGAGGAGGACCAGATTTCTGTACCACTGATTCATAGCGAATCAATTTGTAAAAGGATGGAGAGAAAAACAAAGAGGAATTAAATCATCTTACATTTGCTGAGTTTTCATGTTACCTCATTAAATCCCCCTGCCAAAAAAATCAGTCTATAGGTGCACAAATTCATGAAACACCATAGATTAATATCAAATTCAGTAATAATTTTGTTACAAAGGAATTAGAGACAGAGGAAAAGGAAACAAATACCTTACGAATTAGCATGATTGTTAAGATAAAATTGTTCTTTATAACTTCTGAAAGTGTCAGATGTACTCAATATGAAGATGCCCATCCTATCACAAGGACTGCAAATAACACCCTAAATTGTACTTGTGTTAGAGTCAGAAAACTGGTAACTCATAAATTATGCTAACTTGTATAAAACCTAACATGAGGTGAGATTTTGACTTCCTTCCCAACTTTCTATAGTAACCATCCCATTTAAATGTCAACTAAATATATGTAACAGAAGAAGCACTGACAAAACCACTATCAGAAAAACACATTTATTTTGGCTACTTAATTTTTTAAATTTATTTTTTGGTGACATTGTTTAATGATACCCAGTAAGTTTCAGGTGTACAATTTAACAGTGTTCACCTTCCATAGATTTCTTTCTGTCACCACATATTTGACCCCTTTATCCCATTTACCTCCCTCTTTTCCTCCCCGCCCCCGCCCCCTCCGCTCCCCTCTGGTAACCTTCAATCTATTGTCCATGTCCAGGAGTCTCTGTTTGTCCTGTTTGTTGCTTTCAGGTTTATATCCCACACATAAGTGATATCATGTGGTTTTCAACGTTTTCTGTCTAGCTTATTTTGCTTAGCATGATTATCTCGAAATCCATCCATGTTGCAAATGGCATTATTACATCTTTTCTTATGGTTGAGTAATGTTTATTTATTTTGGCTACTTTTTAAAGAAAAAAATGGTTTATTCATTCACATGCTTGAGATGCAGAGTAAGCATGTAGAATTAAGCCAATGAAAATGTCATCAAGAGAAAAAAAGAATTATCAAGTCTCATATTGCTTCTTGGGCATCAAAAGAAAACATGCAAAAATGAAGATATTAATTCCCCAGCTCCCTTAAAGTTTTGCAAGGACCATAATTCTTCACAGCTGTTTGTAATAAATGCTTGGTTAATTCAAATCTGTTCTCCTAATCTTCCTTCTTGAAACAAACAGGATATTGGTCTATTATTATGGAATTGCTATTCTGACTTTTTTTAAAAGCATTTAGAAAAAAGTTTTATAAACATTGCACATTTATCTCCTGTTGACGCAATCAATTTACTTACCTAAGGTTTCTCAAACTTTCCACACTATCTTAAGTTACAAGGCAGACTCCTAAACCTGGGCCTATCTCTTCTCAGTCAATTCTGATTGCCAAGGATCACTTACTCTCTGCCATGTAAAATTCTTGTATTTTCACCTTGTTTCTGAGAAAGAAGTAGATCTTCTCCAACAACCTTCACCATCTTCTTCATTCTTTTCTTTTTTAACCTGTCTATATAGGCTCTCTACTCTGAGCGTATAAATAAGATCGGCGGTCCATAGTCCTAAAATCTGCCTCCCACACAAGTCTAGCAGTGAGGGAAGGAAGGTGTGGGGCTGAAAAGGATGGATCCTTAACTCTCTCTTGCTATCTGAGTACTCTCTACATTGCTTTACTTAAACTCTTTAATTGTGCTCATCACCAAATCTTTCATTCTTCTCAGTCTTCACACTACCTTTCTAACCTAGCCATCTGTATTGCTTGTCTCCTTTGCTGGATTATCTTTTCTAAAATATAAGGCATTTCCTAAGGATTTACCATGAGCCTCCTCACAGCTTCAACTATTCGCCCTAACTGTTCTCTAACTTCAGTCATTCATTCCTACCTGCCTACCAAACACTTCCCTTTCGATGTCCTGCCCAGACCTCCAAGTCACCATGTCCATCACCAAACCCCTTGTCTTTTCTTCCCTGCTCACCTACATCTCAGTTTTCCCATGTGTGCTCTCACCTTTTGGCCAGTCTCAATCTTTGGATGAAAGTGCCAAGGGAAGAGGAATGATTCATTTGCTAGGAACCAAGATTCTACCTCAAATACAGCCTATATCTATATCCACTGAACAAGAAACCTCTTACCTGAACTGCTACAACACTCTCCTTGTGGCATCCTTACCTCAAGGTTTTCAGTATACAGTATTGCTAGAGAAATATTCCTTAAGCACAAACTTTATCAGGCCTGGCATTCGAGATACTCTACACATCACTTCTTAAGCTGTAATGGGCCCGTGAAGCACATGGTGATCTTGTTAAAACAGAGATACTTATTCAGTATGTCTGGGTGGTGCCTGATTCTGGATTTCTAACATGTTCCCAAGTGATGATTATGCTTCTGGTGTAAAGATATATACCTACAATTTGGCCTCAACCTATTTTTCTAGGCTCTTTTATTCTTTCCTGCCCAGCATACCCGTACGTATTTCTGTGTCTCTCACATACGTGCGGGTCTTATGCGCCTGTGTGCACACACACACAGATGTATACAAACACACAGAGATGTACACAAACAAAATGTTCTCTAAACACACTTCCCAACTTCTGTGCCTCTTGCTGTTTCCTCAAGTCCCATGCCTACCCCATTACAATTCTACCTACTTTTCAGGAACTAATTTATTTTGCCACAGCTTTTGCTTATCTTCCTCACCTACCTCACCCCCTGGATCCCACCTACTGAACACCACAAAAACCTCGAAATACTGCTAGCACTTGATTTGCACTGCTTCTGCTCTGTAATGTCATTATGGAGCTCTTCACTTAATCCTCACTACTATATGCTCCTCCGGGAAGGCAAGGACTATCGCCTACCCTCTGTAACCCCACGGGATCTTAAAATCCTTTATAAATGTCAATAAGTACCTACTGCAGTGGATTTGTATTTTAAGAAAAATGAAACATCTTACTTCATGTAACTTACTTTAAGCAGGTGCTTCGGAAGTTTCTCTAAGATAAACAAACCACTCTTCCAGGAATGTTTTCATTAGCAAAACTTATAAAAATTTTGTCAAATATTTGCTACTTTAAAAAAGTGGTGCCGAGAGAATTTTAGTATTTATCCTATTTATAGAAATTTCTAGGTATATACATCAAGGTTCTGATATTTAACTGGAAATTAAATCTATTTGTTATAATATAGTAAATGCTACATTATAAGCTTATAATACTTTGTAATTCGCATTCTAGCCTTCTCTGGTTTAATTCACCTAATGCTCCTTTTATAATCTGTTAAATAAGACATCACTTTCTCCCCAGATGTTCTAAGATAACTTCACAAAATACCTGACCATTAGAATTCCTTACATTTGTGTCCCGACTTTGAAAAGTGTTTTAAAACATGTATCTTGATTTTTAAGGTTAACCAACTCAACCAAGACAGCTCTATATTAAATGTTTATATGGTAAATCCTTTACATTATCAAAACTGCCAAAATTCAAGGACCTACCCATAGTTCTTAAACTTCGGTGTGTTCAAGAATTGTCTGGTGTTCTCGTTAACTTGCAGATTCCATGTTCTCACCCGGAGAAAGTCTGATTCAGTAAATTTGGGGTGGGGCCTAAAAAACTGTATAGTTAATCAGCATCCCCAAGTGATTCTGATGCGGATGTTCCGCAACAGTTAAGGGACATACTGAAATTAACCCTGGTCCGGGGGCACTACAAGGTTGTGGTTAAAGGGATACGTAGAAATCTCTCTGCGAAGTCCTTTACCTAAACAGCTGTAGCACCAGTACAGACAAGAAGTGATACATGAAAGAAAAGGGGGGAGGGGGGAGGCGGAAAGTTCCTTGGAATATGAATAAAGCCCGAAAACAGTCAAAGAGGGAAAGTGACGTTTCTTTCCCACCTCTGCGCTCCATTCTGAGAGCATCCCCAAGACACCTTCCAGAATGCTGCTCTCACCGGGAGCGGAGCGAGGCCCGTCGCGAGCCCGAGGGACCGGAAGGCGACCCCGCGCTCGCGCCTAGGTCACTAGCTGTCCAATGCCGGCGAGAGGCTGCAACCGAAGGGGTCTCCAGTCCCTGGATCCTCCGCGGCGCGCGAGCTTAAACAAATCACCTCCCGGGGTCTGCGGCCCCGGCGCTCCGCCCGCGCCCCTCACCTTCCACGCGGCCGTAGCTCGGCCTCTTTGTCGGGTTCCGGGTCCCGCGGCTCCTGCTCGCCTGAAGCCACCGGCAACACTTCGGCGTCCTCAACCGTCACCTCGGCCGCAGCCACAGCCCCAGCTGCCGGCACTCGCACGGCCGAAGTGGGAGCGGCCGCGGCCCCCAGGCCGAACGCAGCCTCTGCAGACCGTGCAGGGAGGTCGCGGGCGCGCCCAGTGGCCACAGTCCGCGCCGCGAGCCCCAGCAGCAGCAGCAGCGGCGGCAACAGCAGCGCCCGCGCCAGCGGCCCCGGACGGTTGGCGCGTTCCATCAGCGGCCGGCCCAGCGCGCGGTCATGGAGGTGCAGCCGCCGGCGCCCACTTCTCCCGCCGTTCTAAGTTCCCGACTAGGACGAGGACGCTCAAGGGACCCAGCTGCCGCACTCACGGCCTGAACAGCCAGCGGCGTTTCTACAGCCACGTCTCAGCTCGGCCTCAGCCGCCGCCGCCTGAGTGACAGCCTCCCTCGGACATCACCCATTGAGCAAACTTTCCGCGCGTCTGCTCTCCAATTGGCTGCAGCCACCGCCACTCCGGGGACCCAGCCTGGTTCTGTTAGAGAAGGTGGACTTTCCCCAGTTGTCAACATCACGCCTGCCAATCAAATTGTATTGTTCTATCTTGAAGCCCGGCCCTTTTCCGGAAGCGTTTACCAATGAGAAACGCCCCCTCCCCGCAGCTGTCTTACCTGATTGGTGGGCTCCACAGTTCCCGAAAAACCTGGCCCCGAAGCAGATTGGCCATTGCAGTGGTTGGCTTCGCCCCTCAAAGCGAGGCGCTGGAGAAGATTTGAAGATCATTGATGGAAGCGGATGCTCCTCAAAGGTCTGGGATAACTTCTTCCTGATTGGTTGGAAGCAGCACTTAATACGTGGCGAATTCTGACTGTGGAGAGGACAGTCCCCAGTGAGAGGAAGAGCAGGAGTCGAGTTCCGTGTGGTAGAGAGGCGGCCGACCTTAAAGGAGCTACCGCCGTGGCTCTTGTAAAGCCTGATCTGTTTGGAAAAGCGAAGCAAGAAATATAAGTGACTACACAAGCTGTGTGGCCCTAGAAGTGGAAGAGGGATGGTGGGTTCAGGAAACAATCCTGCGTGTGGCCCCTAGGATGCTGAGAAGTACAGCTTGTTAAGAGATGCCAGTGAGCTACAGGTGACCCAGTCTACCCGGCTCGCCTGCCTCGTAGTTATAAGGGGAAAGGGGCCCAGGCCCGGTGCACTTAGGTAATTTGTCTAAAGTCACAGAGCTAGTTATTTGCATAACTTTAAGCCTCTGACCCTGATCTGGCAGGCTTTGTTCCTCACTATAAGGCTTCACGGAAGAGATAAAACTGCAAAAGGCAAAACAAAGAAAATTTGAATGTTCAGCTAAACTATTGGAACTTTATACAGTTAATATACCCTGAAGATTTTTGAGCAGGTGAATGAAAGGATAAGAGTTGTGGTTTAGGAAGATGCATCGGCCAGCAGTGTAGTCAAAGAATAGCATCAAAGCTGAGACTAATTGGCAGGTTGTAACTGGGAGGCTATTGCCCAGTGAAAACTCCGTGAAGATTTTTTAAAGATATTGTCACAAATATGCTGTAGTTGCTTTCATCCAAAAGCAAAACAAAAAGCCCCACTTCCACCTTCATCTTTCACATTTCCTTTTTCTTGCAAGAACAGCACAACTCCCGTGTTCTAAGCTGCTTATTTTCGTTTCTTCTCAAACGCACTAGTCCGGCTTTCATGCTCACAAACTGCTCTTGCTGAGGCTACCATTGCTGAATTCAAAGGACAATTCTCAATCTGCATCTTATCAGCTATATTTAACCCAATAACTCAGTCTTTCCTGTACAAAACATTTTTCACCAGTTTTCTTGCTTCCCATAGGCCAGATCATAACACTCATTAGGTGTCATTTTAACTTAATCACCTTTTTAACCCATTTCCTATTTAGAAAAAGAAAAAGTGCCTCTTGCTGCCAGCGTTAATTTAATTTTACATAAACTCATTCTTTAAAGCTGAAGCAAATCTGACTGGTTTTCAATGTGAAGATAAAATACAAAAACTGTTTTTGGAGTTACTTCTAAACAGAACTTGTCTCTAATTCTAATGTAACAGAAACGTATACATAAATCGGGTTCATCAAATGGATCTTTGGCTAAAGACTGCTAGAGAACAATGTTAACATCACTCGTAGGAATGCTACATTTTCTAGGATTTGACATTTTCAGCGATCGAGAATTACTATATTTTGTAAATGGAAATATCACTACTAAAAATAGAATGCTATGAATAGAATGATGTCATTTGTTTCCAAAGACTATCAATGGGAAAATAGTAATAAAAGTGAGACATTTTGTGGCAAACTTTGGGAGTAAGGTAAGGACTGTAATCTGCAAATTATCTTTGGGTGAACGCTGCAGCCACAGGGGCCTCCTGCAAGTATTTTGAGGGCAAATGGGAAATGGATTAAAGGCCATATCTCCAAATATGGTTACATTCTGAGGTACTGGGGGTACAGACTTCATATGAATTTGAAAGTGGGGGAGGCACAATTCAGCCCATAACACCCATGAGGCTTGTTCCCTCACTTCCTTCAAGGCTCTGTTATCTTCCCAGTGAAGCCTCTCCTGACCACCCTTTTTAAAATTGAACCTTCCTAACACTTCACTTCCTAAATTTCCCTGTTTTATTTCTTCTTAGACCTTAAAAACTATAATTTATAGATTAGTTTTGTTTATTGTCTGTATCCCTCTGTTCCTACATAAGTTCTATGAAGATGTGCTCATTAATATATGCCAAATCCTAAAACAGTGGAAGGTGTTTAGTAAGCATTTAATAAATATTTGTTAAATGAATAAACAGATTTTCAACAAGAC